TATTAATTTTTCTAGTCATTATTGATATATAAGTGGAAAAGGATACTCAGGATAAAGGTTCAATTTTAAAATTTTTATGAGTAATAGTTCCAAAATCTATTCTTTTGAGGCCATAAAAACAAAAATAATTTGAAAGATCGTATTATCTCTACTTATATGTTAATCTGTTCACATATCTATCCGCATGTCCACTTATTTGTCCACATATTATCTATTTGTCTATCAATATGTCTATGTGTCACTTATCAATTCACTGTCACCGCCAGTAGCTTTTTCAGTGGTGGTGGTTGGTAGTGATGTTTAAGAATAGAGACATAAACAACAAATACAAAAATTATAAAGGTAAAACTATCACAAACGTCTTTTTTACCCAATAATTACAAAAAGTAAAAAATAAAAAATTCCTATTTTGCTTCAAAGAATTTGCCACTAACCTTTTTTTTTTTTTTTTTTTTATCAGCAAAAAAAAATTTCATTTAACAGTATGAAATTAAAAGTACAGGAAGATGGCATGCATCGAAAGAGTTTCGGAAGTATAAAAATACCCCTACTACTGCTATACGCACCCATACAACCAACCCCTAAGCCTCTCGATTTTTTAAATAAAAAAGTTAAGAAGAACTTAACTAGAAAAATTAAAAAACATGAACCCACACACAATCAACCCACCAAAACACCTAAACCAAACAAAACAAAACTAAACCAAGACAACCAAAGCAGCCCGAACCAAACCAAAACAACATCTAATCAAACAACGCCTCTGCCAAGGCCCACTCCTCTGCTGATCAGACAACTCCTCTGCCAAGGCCCACCCCTCACGCCTCTGCTGCAGCCTCCACTGCTACAACCACTCCTTAGCTGCTGCCCACGCCACCCCTAGCTGCTGCAGCTCCCACCTCCCAAAGCCCACACCCGAACTGCTAAACAAACAAAACCACACCGGCCGAGAATACTCCATAACCACCACCTGCGGCAACTCCCCTGTCGAAAACTCCAAAGCCACCACCTGCGGCAACACCCCTGATGAAAAACAAAACATCACCCACTGATCAGTGCCCACCAAGTCTTCTTCTTGCTCACACCCGAACTGCTCACACCCAATAGCCACGCCAAGCCTCTGCTGCACAACTTCATAGCCAACACCTAAAAAATAAACCAAGCTGCTGCAAAAAACCATGCTACAGATCTTCTATTCCAAAGACACCTCCATACAAATGGAAGTTCACCCCTCAAACTCTCTCACGAGAAGGAGCGCTCAAGTGACACCCGGACAAAAAATGGATCGCCTACGGCTCCTGCGACACCCACTTCTCCACCAATCTTAACCAGAAAGCACCCCTCAAGCCCCTACTCGCCAGAAAGCGCTCGAATGAAAGTCCTGAACGACCCCCGCAGCAAGGTCGAATCGCAAACCCAACGGCCCCTGGAGACAAACCTGGACGACCCCCGCAGCAACATATAACACTCCTAGGTGGAGAAAATGAGGGATTCAAGTTTATTTAAAGAAAAAACACACAGGAAAATGCCAAAAATGAGCTATACCAGCCGACCGCCATAGCCAAAGACGGCGGCCGGCCAGCCCAAACAGAGGCCGGGGAAGGAGGTTTTTAGAAAGAGAGAGTTTTTAGAGAGAGAGAAAGAGAGAGTTTACTGGACGTGAGTTTAATTTGCCACTAACCTTAATGTCCCATGTGCTTCTTTCTTTAGATTTAAGGGAAAATTGGTCTAGGGTCCCTCTCCCACTTTTCATAATGGAAGAGATCCACAGAATTATTTTTTAATGTCTAAGGTCCCTAAATATATCAAAGAGAAATTTGACCTTACGAAATCAAAACTCATCTCTCTCTCTCTCTCTCTAAACTTCTCCATTCTCATACCTGTCCAGATCAACTCTTGTTCCTCACCCCTAACTTCATTCTCCAACCGATTGAGCTCCAGCTTCACCGGATCCGACCATCAACGGCGTCGCCGAGAAACAAACAGTCAGTAGGAGACTTCAATTTCTCGAAACCAGATCCATGGCTGTGGAACACCAGTCCAGCTGCCGATTGAGAGTGGTGTGACCCATTTCGAAGGTTAGATTTGAGACCTAAACTTCAATTTGTTGGTCAAGAAGAAACTTGTGCTTTAGGGACCTAAGTTTCTTGCAAGCATTTTCAACCCTTTTGTACTCTGCTCTTGCCTCTGAGTTCGACCTCTCTTGTTTCTCCTGCAATTGAGCCAATACCTCTTCGCATGATTATAGAGCCGCTTCTGCCATTAAAGCTCAAGCTTCATCATCCTCAATGACCATGGTCACCCCGAATTCATCTTGCAAGTTGAAAACTCTCTCTTGTAGTTCTGTGGTCTGGTTCTCAATTTCCTAATACTTTGCAAGCCCACTTTCATAAAAGCTCTACACATACTCTTTCACAGTTTGTAGTCCCAAAATTTCTTTATGAAGCTTGTCAACCTCATCAAATGCCTTAGAGTTGCTCAAACCAGATTTCGTGAAAGCAGTTTTACTAACATTTACTTCTTTTGATGACTCATTGTTTTGCAGTTTCTTTGATGCTGGTGATAAGTTCAAGTCTCTACTTGGAAACTTTGTTGATGCTTGTGAAAGATTCTTTGGAGCTCTAGAAGAACCATAGTTGTCTTCATCCATTGCTAATTGGGGCCCTCTTGTGGAAAATGACCCAGTCTGGAATTTCTCTGGGTTGTGGAGTCCAGAGAAATTCTGGGTTCAGAGAATTTCTGTAGAAAGGTTTGTCTGGGAATTTCTCTGGGTTAGGGAATTTCTCTGGGTATCTATCTATGAGTGTGTTCTGGTTAGCTCCTCAATTCATCATTCTTGGGATTGGAGATGGATTTACACTTGTTGGCCTACAAGAGTACTTCTATGATCAAGTTCCAAATTCAATGAATTTGTGTGTGTACGTGTGGTATATATATGGTGTGTGTTTGGAGTAGTGAACTGAATTTTTTTTTTCATTTGACCTGAATTTTCTCTGGGTTGAAACCAGATAAATTCTCTGGTTTTTTAATTGAATTTTCTCTAGGAGTAACCAAAAATCAAATTTTCTCTGTACTCTGTTTTCTCTCTCTCTCTCTCTCTCTCTCTCTCTCTCTCTCTCTCTCTCTCTCTTTCTCTAATTTTATAAACACACTTGTGTGCTTGTTTTTATGGAATTTGATCTTGTATTGTCATAATCAATTCAGTGGGTATGGCAGTGAATGAGAGTGGGAGTGGAGGCTAATTGGGCCCCTCTTGTGGAAAATGACCCAGTCTAGAATTTCTCTGGGTTGTGGAGTCCAGAGAAATTCTGGGTTGAGAGAATTTCTGTAGAAAGGTTTGTCTAGGAATTTCTCTGGGTTAGGGAATTTCTCTGGGTATCTGTCTATGAGCGTGTTCTGGTTAGCTCCTCAATTCATCATTCTTGGGATTGGAGATGGGTTTACACTTGTTGGCCTACAAGAGTACTTCTATGATCAAGTTCCAAATTCAATGAACTTGTGTGTGTACGTGTGGTATATATATGGTGTGTGTTTGGAGTAATGAACTGAATTTTTTTTTTATTTGAACTGAATTTTCTCTGGGTTGAAACCAGAGAAATTCTTTGGTTTTTTAATTGAATTTTCTCTGGGAGCAACCAAGAATCAAATTTTCTCTGTACTCTGTTTTCTCTCTCTCTCTCTCTCTCTCTCTCTCTCTAATTTTATAAACACACTTGTGTGCTTGTTTTTATGGAATTTGATCTGGTATTATCATAATCAATTCAGTGGGTATGGCAGTGAATGAGATTGGGAGTGGAGGCAATGGTTCATGGTTGATAAATTCCGAAGTCAGAGAAATTTGATGAAAACACATTTTCTCTGACAGTGTCCATGAAAGGCTAAGGAGGCAAGAGAAATTTAAAATTTCTGTAGACCAATTTTCTCTGACTTGAATTTTCCCTGGACCAATTTTCTCTGGATTGATGTTGAGGAACCTTAGACATCATGAAAATATTTGATGTCCTTTATACTATAAAATCATAATATCAGGGACATTAAAAAAAATACCCCTAGATTTAATACCAATTTTTTCGGTACAAAAATATAAAATTTTGTAATTACATTAAGATTTATCATTTTAAAATAGTGCTCATTAAATAATATTAAATTACAAAAATATTACTAACAAATTATTTTGATTGAAAATTTTACTATCATTTTTTTAAATTATTATAAATATTTTCAGGTTTGATCTCAATATATACATAGTTTCTTCTTTGTGCTTTATTTAAGGATATTTTCTTTGTTTTTGAACTGTGATTTTTCGTATTTTAGTGTAAGCTTTGTGCTGATTTGATCACCTTTTAATGAAAATTTCATTTCACTGCCAAAAAAGGAAAAAAAAAAAAAAAATTTAATCTGGCTAAAAAAAAAAAAAAAAACTTAGTCAATATATTCAAGGCCATCTCTTGTGACCTTGATTAGCATGTTAGGTCGACGGTCACTCTAAATAATGTTAAACAAAGCTTTCAAAATATATGTTTAGCAAGTAAACCATAAATTTTCTCGCAGTTGTTATTTACTTATTTATTGATTTGATAAAATTGATTTTTTACATAAACAGTTTTTATTGTGAAATTTACAAGATAAATTATTTAAATTATCATTGTGAGCCTAGAATGGAGTTCAAATAAATAAAGTATAAAAAAATATGAAGCATAAGAGTATGGAGGGGGGTGATACCCTTAAAATGGACTGATCATCTCCATCATTGCATGATGGAGATCCTCCATTTTAACTTTAGAATGGAGAGAATCGCAATACGATTAAAATAGTTAAAAACTCACTACCAATAAATAAATAAATAAATAAATAACAATAATAATAATAAAATAACTTCTTCTTTTGTTTTTTTTTTTTCTTTTTCTTTCCTTTTTCTTGGGCATGTCATTTATTAGAAAGCTAAAAAATCAACAAAATAGCCAATTTTCAAAAGTACGCAAACATAAAATTATGTATTCAAACTACATAAAGTTTAGACAAAAAAAATTATGAAATTATTATTTACCAACTCGTCTAAAAGATTAGACATTTAGAGAGAGAGGAATAACTTTATATCACATCTTGAACATACCCCATAAAATAAATCGTGAATTTCAAATAGAAATCTATTTCCTAATTTAAATATCAGAATTAAGATGTTCACCATCAACTCATCTAATAGTATAAACTATTAGAAAGAGAGATGAACAACTTTATTATTTATATTGCAAACTCAACAAATGCTAAATACGACACTAATATCCTCGTTCTTTCACATAGTGGGATAAGAAGCTTGTAAAGCAATGCCACATCGACCTTCCGCAACAACATCTCTTTCAATCTTCATATATCCATTTTCACCCCAATTAGAGCCCCATGAATTCTTAACCAACCAGTAGTTAGTCCCATCAGTAGTAGTTCCATATCCAATTATAGTGACAGCATGGTCAAGATTGGTTCCACACGGCCCAGCGAAGACGCCACTTGAGTAAAGCTGGAAGTTCTGTCCACTACTGTCAATGGCAACAGAAATCGGTTGCTGGGCCACAGCTTGCCGAAGAGCCTGCTCATTACTAGATGGCACATAATTGTACCCAGTTATCTGGACTACAGAGGTTGCTGTTTTGGTGCTGTCACAAGTGTTATCTTGTGCAATGTAAGGGTAATTATCTTCTGATGTGAGACCATTGTTTTGTTGGATGAATTGAAAGGCTGTATCCATTGAGCCGCCACTACAACCACGGCTATCAACATTACAATCAACGAGCTCTTGCTCAGACAGTGATATTAGGTTCCTGGTTGTAATTTGGTATATACCTTCCACAGCTGCCACTGCTGAAAATGCCCAACAACATCCTATACATATGATAACCACCACCCCCCCAAAAAAAAAGAGTTAGTAATTAGAAAAGTAGGTACAATCAAGTGAGATGTGATTATTTTACAAAAAGGCATGACAATAATTGGGAAATTATAGAATGTTTTCGAAATACCATATGCCCGTACTCCTTAACCAATCATCATTCAATATATTCTCTCATGTTCCCCAATCACCCAATACAACACCTTACCTATCTATCTTCTTCACCAATCACGATATTATGGATTGCCACGTGTCTATATTATGAGATTACTGAATCATTACCCAAAATAATATGCTTGGGTTACTATTACTATTAATTATTGATATCATGGTTTTAATTACCAACAATTATGTATCGATTTTTTGTCCTTTCAATAACAGTACCCTATGATATACCATTGGAATGAGAATCGTATAGATATCAACTAGTTCATGGTATGTATCAATTTAGACAAATTCATGACTCGATTATAATCGACATAGGTGCTTCGACAGCTACAAAGCTCTCTTCATTTATTTTTATTTTTTTGTAGCTAATGATTTTAAATATTCATGACTCAATTCTTTATGTATACCAGTCGATACTTCTGATACTCATAATCGATATATACCACTGTTTTAAATTATTGATTGATATAAATAGAGATGTAGAAATATATCATGTAACGCTTACCACATTGGCCTTGGTCCTTGACAGGAGTAACTGCACCTTCCTTTTGCCAGTTGACGGTTGTTGGCACATCAGTTAGATTTGCATACCTAAAAGATGTTGGTTTTGAGACAAATGTCTCATTGGTTGGCTGCCTGCTGTAACCAGTATGAGAAGCACGAAACTCCTCATTGGTCAGGTCTACAAATTGATTCACACCAAGCTTGTATCCTCGGTCTACACCTTCATTAAAGGCATTTATATGTTGGAGATTGTCCTTGAATACCTGAAACCGTGCATTCTTTTCTTCGGTATCCTTGTAAACACGTCCATGCCGTGTCATCCATTGCTCGTGTATTTCCAGTATGGTTTGTTCGTTGAGAGTGCGAGAGGAAGCTTGAGAGGACAAAACTCCCAAGACAAAGAGAAAGGCCAAGAAAATGCATTGGAAATGGTTAGTAGAAGCCATGGTGTGAGTGAATGTATTTGTGGGGACACTTGCTAAAATTTTGCGAGGGCTTAGGTTTTTATAGGCAAAGATCGCCATGAGATTAAATTCCGTACGGCTTACTAGTAAACCCTCTAGTTTACGGGCAACCAATGAATAATGAGCACGTTAACATTTTGCCAGTAAACGTTTTCTTTTATCCAACTGGCTCTTCCCTCCCACTCAGTCTTCACGTTGATTGCTTTTTGTTTATGAAGAAGTTTGACAAAGTAAACAAAGGCTCAAAATTTCTTTTTAACCATTAATAAAATCTTAACTTAATTATCTCAAATAATAAAATTAGATTAAATTTGTACAAACTATAGAAAATCTGTTTGATTTTGAGTTTTCAAAAAGATTTTTTTTGAAGTTTCAATCTGTAATTTTGTTAGTGTACTTTTTCCATATTTTAATCAATTTTTCTACTCTTTAAATCCAAAGTGGTTATCAATTGCTGGAAATGCACCCTTGGAAGGGTGTTCCTGTCCGTTGGAGGGTGTTGGTGATGGCCATGAATGGTTGCTGACAATCGAAGATGGTAACCGAACGTCAAAGGTGGTGACTAACAGCCAAAGTTGGTGAAAAGAGGTGGCTACTATTAGTGGGAGGTAGTTGTTAAAAGAATTTATAAAATGTTTATAAGTTTTTGAAAATGAAAATAGATATTAAACAAGTTTTTGTTTATAATTTATCTAAAAAAAATATAAATATAAATAAAAAAATAAAAAATAAAAATAAAAAACGGGATTGAAAACTGAAAAATAATTTTTGAAAAATCCAAATCAAACACTCTATTTGATTGAATTTTCAAAATATGTTTTTGAAAATATTGTGAATTTTATAGAAACAATTGCAAAAAAGTGATAACAACTTAGAATAAGAATCAAGTGATGAAAGTACAAAACTTACTTGTGCCAATCTAATATATAGACTGTTTGTACTTTTATCATTTTACAATTATTTTGTGAAGTTAGCACTTTTTAGCAATTGTCACAATTTTATATTCAAGCATGGCGTTTATTGTGTATATTCACATAATATGCAAAAGTAAAATCAATAAAATTTATTTGATAATCGATATCAGTCCTCTTTTCAAATGCGCCATAATATACCATGAATTATTTCGTTTTACTCTGAAAGTAAAATCAAATTGAAAGATTATATACATTCAAAAATAGCATTTACCTAAACTTTAGGAAAGTAAATACTCTCCAGCACCTTCTCTTTCTTTTTTTTTTTGTTAGCCATCATCTAACACTCAAAATAAATATCTCAAAATACGATAATGACTAACTATTGAATTATGATCTTTAAATTAAATATTGAAGGAATTATTGTGCAGCTTGCACAATCGTGACTGTTGTGTGGCTTATGGGAGTCACTTAAATTTCTATTTTGATGATTTAAATCGTGCATTTTTTAAGAAATATTGAGTAGAATATACATGTAAAAAATGAATTTGATTGAATATCAATAGTTTCTTCATCTGTATGTATACAAAATAAATATGTAACTATTAAACTGAATACAAATGCAGCTAATCAAGGAACTATTGATGTCTAATCAACTTAATTTTTAATAGGTATATTCTACTTGACATTCTTTAAAAATTGAATAGTTTGAATTATGAAAAAAAAAAAATCCAAAATAATTCCTACGAGCTGCTGCCTATGCCGCACAATAGTGAATAAGTGTAATGTTACACTTTAGAAAAACATTTTAGGGAGATGGTCATGAACATTCTGTTGGAACAATCTTCTGTGTAAATAAAATAAATTGAAACTAAATAAAACAAAATAAAATAAATAACTTACATAATTTATTTTATCGAACCGAATGAAAAATGGAAGACCAAGTCGAGTGTGTGACACTCTGTTCTTAAGCCAAATTCGCCCCACTATGGTGCTTACGGCTATGTGGCGTCTATCTCTGATGCTACAATAATCTTCACAAAATTGTAATAGCGCTCCAAACAAATTTGTCCGGCGAACTAGAACCTTGTGTTCTATACTCTCTAACACTAGAGTGAAGAATAAAATGCAAAGGAGAAATATGGACTGCAAAAATGAATTTTTTTCTGATTGTTCTTTTGGATGCACAAGACTGCTGGAACAGCCTTCAATTTATAGGCAAAATACCTGACCCGTACAGGTACATACAAGAAGTGAATAGGTGCAATTTAGAATTGAACAGATACAGTTTGAAAATCAAACAGATAACTGTTGCAGTTAAATAAAATGTCCAGCTTTTGAATCTGCCTGGACAATTATGAATTTGTTAAGGTTCCAACAGGTCAGAAAACTATTTGAATATGTTCGGCAGATTCTGTAAGGAATTCAGACAGAATGAGGCACAAATTTTGGACAATAATTTGAATTCAAATTAATTTTTCCCGCAGGAAATTCAAATAATTTTGTTCAAAAAATTCATATAAGAACCGACCCAACCCACACCCGGCACGGCACGGCTTGGCCGGACGCGTGTGGTGGTTTGGGCTAAGGTTGATTTTGTCTATAACTCCTTACTTCTACAAACTTGGGGTGTCCCTTGGGGCCCAACGCAAGGTTGTACACATAGAGCTTATATACTCACAAAAGCTCTCTTCAAGTTTCAATGTGGGATAACCCATATAAGGAAATCCACATTTAATTCTTGAATTTGGTCAATTCCACGAACCCGAAAACGATGTCAAGTTCTCATTCATTCACAAATGGTTTTGACAAACAGCCTTCACTATGTGACTTACCATGGGGCAAGGAACACATCATCTCTTTAGACCCATCCCAAAAAACATTTGGGACCTACTCAATTTTGGGTTCAAATTTGGCCCAAAATAAGCCTTATAAACCAAATTTTCCAACACATTCTCCATCATTGTATTTGTTTTTGGTGTTTTTTATTATACGTAATGCAATCACATTCACTAAGTTACAATCCACCAATCATAGAACATTATAAGTCAAAACTAAATTTATACTATTTGCAAACTAACACTTCAAAATTAAAGTATAATAAGTTTGAGTGTCTCACAGAGTTTTACAAGAAATAACTTAAAACTTAAAAGTAAAGTCGAATTATAAAACTATTTTAATTAACTTAGGGTTATTTTTATAAATTTTAAAGACTTAAAGGGCTTAACTTCTTCTTCTTTATATATATATATATATATAAGGGCAAATTACAAACACACCCTTTGAGATTTGTTCAAAGAGCGGATTGCAATCTGTGATTTGAAAAATTATAAAAAACTCTTTGTCAGAATTTTTTTATTTAATAGAATTAATTAAAAAATAAAATTCCTAACTGTTTTCTTATAAAATGATAAAATTACCTAAATTAATAATTGAAATCAATTTCTAATATCATTAAAAATTATTAATTGACCTGATGATTTATTTATAAAAGGGATCATTTGTTATGAATCTAGAAATTTTCAGGGCGGAATGTAATTTCTAGAATTACAAGGATAAATATTTTAAACAAATCTCAAGAGATATTAGACTTTATTTTTTATTTTTTATTGTCTATCACAATAGATTATTTCTGAAGGTCTCTTGAAACTTCTCCTGATATATTTTTGGGAGACTTACATGTAGGTTCTATGATAATTAATGGCATTTTCATCATATACTATTAAAAAAAGTTACTAATGATTAATTTTCAACGACAGTTTGAAAATTGTCACAAAAAATATCACTAAGTATAAGTTTTAGCGACACTTTAAAAAATTGTCACAAAAAATCACTAATTTTCAACTTTGAACGACAATTTGAAAAATTCGTCACATAAAAATATTACTAATTATAAGTTGTAGTGACAATTTATAAAAATGGAGAAAAAAATCACTAATTGTTAACTTTTAGCGACATATATACAATCGTCATAAAAAATTATTTTTAGTAGTGATTTTACTAAAACTTATTTTCAATATAATTTGATATGAATTAAATCCAACTATTAAAATTTATCGGTAATTTATCCAATATTTTATTTTTATTTTTATTTTTTGGTTAAACTCTAGCACTTTTGATGGCATAATTATCGGAAGAAGAAAGTGCGCGGCTCCCCCTTGCGCGGAAGCTAAATTCAAACCAATCTTGGAAGTTGGAAGTAAAGTTTCCAAGTAAACTAAAGGAAGTTTCTAGTAAACTAGTAATCCAAAAAACTTGTCTACTGTCACTAAATGCTAAGCAATTATTTATGATTAGCTGTTTTTTATTTATGATTAGATTTTTTTTTTTAAGAAGTAGAAAAAAAAATTAGGGTTTATCGCTCGTAACAAAATAGATTAGGTTGAAATACTAATAAATTTCAAAATATAATTTTGTGAACCATTTAGTTTTCTCTTTTTTTTCTTATGAACTCAAAGGTTCCATTAAAATGAAAATTACACAAAAGAGTAGTCATTTATATATTTGGATTTAATTTTTAAGGCATAAAAGTGGATTTCTTCAAATGTGAAATTACACATTTGAACAATCTGTACTATATAAGTTTTGGATTTTTCATTCTTTTGGAACAAATCCCACATTACGAACAAAACGTTAACACTCCAATGTGACACCTTAAAAAATTTCTTAGTGTACTTTTTTCAAACATAATAACATAACACTATAAAAAAACTCCTTAGTGTACTTTTTTCCAAACATAATACGTTAATCAATGTAATTTCAAACGTAACACACACAAAAAAAAAAAAAATTAATAATTTGTTTAGTGCATTTTTCCTAAATGTAACAACGTAAAATTTCAAAAAAAAAATTCTTATTGTATTTTTTTAAACATAACGCTTCAATGTAACGCACAAAAAAATTTCTTAGTGTACTTTTTCCAAACGTAACACTGCAATCAATGTAATTCGAATTGTAACACTCCAATGTGATATACACAAAAATACTAAAAAAACCTCCTTAGTATACTTTTCTCAAACGTAATAACCTAACACTCCAAAAAATACCTTAGTGTACTTTTTTCAAACGTAACACTTATAGCAATTCTAGTTTAGACCCGTTCAATTGATATTTTGGATTCGGGTTTCATTGTCTCATATAGTTATTATTGCTTGGTTTCACTCTCATTTCTCGTTGAGTTTGGTTGTTGGAGTGTTTTGGGTGTATTTGGAATAGGTTGGTAGCTTGCTGGTCCAAATTATTGTTGCCCAGATTTTGGCTTCTTTGCGCATCACTTCTTGCGCTCGAGTGGTAGTTGTAAACTCTCAGTACTTTTGCAAGCCTGTAGAGATATTACGAGTTGGTATTCTTCACTCGAGCAGCACTTCTTGCGCTCAAGCAGTGTTGGCTCGAGCGGTGGTTTTCTGTTTGCAAAACTTCTGAGAGTTATATTCTTCACT